CGAAGCAGCTCTCTGCGAGAGTCTCTGCGTGAATCAGACGCTGGCTCCCGACGCTCCGAGCTATCCCACCACCAGGTGCCCGAGGTCATGCTACAAGTACGGGTACCCCTATGCCAGAAACCCAACCTTCGCGTACGCTCGGCCTGAGTCTCCAGGGCTAAGCGAAGTGTTTCCTGTGACTGCTGGAGACGTAGCGATGCTGCTGATTCTGAAGCCCTACGCGAACTCCGTTGCTGACCAGATCGACCGATCTCTGTCTTCTACCACCAGCTCCTTTGCTCCTGATTCTATCCCAGAGTTTCAGATGGCAGACAAGTTTGGCAATCCAAACAGGACGAGTCAAGGCCTCGCACAGATTTCGCTGAGGTCAAGTCCTAGCAATGTGGGCGCGGAGTTGTCTGGAATTCCCAGCAGCAGTTTGTCGAATGGTGTGGCCAGGTTTCCGTTGATAAGCATCAATTGCCCTGGTAAAAACTTTCAACTTGAAATGAGTTACTTCCCCAACAGCTCAACCGTGGGCAGCTCTGTCACAGGAGTATCCTCCTTGTTTGACGTCTTGCCTTCGCCGCCACGTCTGACTTCAGTGCGATTCACCGAGACGTGGGATGCTTTGTACATCGTCATCGATCGATACACCACTCAACCCCTCTTCTCCTCCATTGGCTCTTGTAATCAAATTCTGCAATCTGTCCTGTCGTTTAATGTTTCTACGAGGACGTATAAGAATAATTCGATCTGCTCAACGCAAACCAGTGCAACGGCGACGTGCAACAACTCAATGCTGGGAGAGGGCGGGTACGAGTACTGCGATTGGGTGGATAGCAGGACGATACAGGTACAGCTCGGGCGGAATGCAGAGCTGACGCTGAGCGATCTTGTGTTCGTGAAAGGACCATGGGGGGGGCTGGCGGTGGACAGCATGGTCAACTTGGGAGCATACACCTTGAACTCGCATAGCTGGTTTGTCAACGAAAGCGTTGGGTTCCTGCCTCTCCGAAGCGATCGCCTGAGCGCAGTGAAGTGGGCCTGCATCAAAGATGCTAAGACGGGGGCTTGTCCGCCGGCCTCGTTCGGTGAGCACATCAGCAAAATCAAGCTGTTCGAACAGAACGGACAGAAGTTCCTGGTGGTCTTGAGATACTGTACTGGTGCAGACATGTGCAAATCATATCAGTCATCCGACTCGATGGTAATTTATGAGATGACTTCAGATGCTACCAACACGTATTCCTTCGTGTTGATCCAAAGACAAGTCTTCTCACTCTCTGGGCCTGTTGATGTCGAATGCTTCTCACTGCCCTACGACATAGCTGCTCCCAAACGATTCTGTGCAGTCGCGCAATACTATGACGGTTTGACATTCTCAAAGTCTGCACAGATTTTTAGCCAAAGTACAGGAAGCTTTGCCTCAAGCACCTTCAGCTCCTTTGCCACCATCCCCTGTTACAAAACGATTTCAGTGAAATTCGAAAATTATGCACAAAGCTCATTTTTACTCGTAACTGGCGAACAAGAAAGTTATCTTACACAATGGATTCCGGGACAGTTTGTGATCGATCCCAAGAACCCCGGGTCTCAAGTCTGGCAGGATGGACTTTTTCAGCTTCAAGTCACGATACCTTCCACGTCAGCTAGTCAGGCTCGCTTTTTCTTTTCGGGGAACCAATTCTACATCGGAATATCGAATAGTCATGGATCCAAAACCTGCTCAACGTTGGACTGTCCGTACCAGTACTCCAAGAGTGCATTCCTGGACATTTTCCTGGTTGGATACAAGGCGAAACTCATTTCCTTGGGTACACTTTTCCAGCCATGCAACACAGGCAATCCTAGCACTTACTCAACAATATCAATCGATGGCATTTTCGAAAACAGTTCGTACGTACAGGATGGAAACGTCATTCAAATACAGGGTGAAATCATGGTCTTCTCAAGTCAAAAAGAAGGCCAATACTGTGATCCACAAGGCAATCCATACACTTTAAACAAACTGAACAATATCACCTTCATCGTGAAACGAGCTTCAAGTTCTCCGCCTGGTCATTCGCCGGATGACATCGTGTACTTTCTTCCTGGGGGTGTCTACACTTCCGTGGAGCCTCAGCCTTACCTGCGCTTGCCTGGGACTGGCATCAGGGACTTCGTTCACTTCAGCGACTCTGGGGTTGACTACATCATGTGCGCCAACTACTACAGCGGGTGCAACGTGACTGGGTACGACCAAGACTCGCTGATATTCTCAGTAGACTTTGAGGCGAGGAGGTATGAGATACACCAGAGGGTCGGGACCCAAGGAGGCCTTGAGCTTATGCTCTTCAATAGAACCTTGCTCGATCTGAACGGCAAGGCTACCACCAAGCTCTACATCACTGTCGCGAATCATAAATCCAATAGCGGGAATTCAGTCCAATCAGAACTGTTCGAATGGACAAACGTCAGTGCTGAGGTGCAGCCGTCGTACAAACCGTTCGTGGGGCTTGCTGTGAAATCGTCATGGTACACGACCTTCGCGATGTCATGGCTCTTGATACCTATCAGCACGAGTGGAAATGATCGCTCTATTCTGTTGCAGGTACCTGCGCGTCTTTGACATCTCAATCTTGACACGTTATGTTTGTGGCAGATTTCGAATGCGACCCTCACTAGCAGCAATGCCTCCATCAACGCTTATCAGTTCGAGAACTACAAGCCTATCCCGGTCCCGCTCATATCCGGCCCGAAGGTAAGATGGGGGAGCCAACAAGATCGATTTAACACGTCGGCAGGTGATCGGGATCTGCGACTCTCTTTACCTCGATGGGACCATGTCGACTGGAAGTGCCGGACGGGGCTGGAAGGACATTCTATGGAATGTGTCGTACCTGAACGCGTCCGTGAACGACACACTGTGGAACAACTTGTCGTTTGCCGAGTATGCCAACTCATACAGCGGTGGGATGATACTCAACGTCACGCCAGCTCTAGATATGTCCTCGTCTTTCTGGGAGACTTTCTTCCCGCCTGGGGTTTACCAAGTCAACCTGTCACTGACAAACTGGGTTGGGCAGCAGAGCATTTCAACATTTGAGTTTGAAAAGACCAACATCTCCACCCCTACTCTCTCCTTGCAAACATCCGCTAAAACCTTCGATATCTGGGAGTATTTTTCAGCCAGTGTGACATACTCGTTCAAATTCTGCGAGAATTCCAGTCTGGTTTACAGCAATTACAACTTTAGCTGGAGCTTGTACGATGAATCTAGCAAGCTTGAAGTGCAGTTACCATCGGAGTACATAGCTGGCTCGCAGGTGATGGTAGGGAAATACTTCTTCCTGCCAAACACTCAGTACAAGTTGGAAGCTGCTGTTGAGATTGAAGGGTTTCATGCCAGCACCTTCGTTACCTTGCAGACTGGTGTGGATCGAGCTAACGCAGTGCTGGTGGGAGGGGACAAGACGGTGCCGCTCCAGGCGAATGCCTCTTGTGCTTCCAGCACGCCCATCTTGCTGGATGCTTCCAAGTCTACAAACTTGGCTTTCCAACCTTTGAGCGCATACGCAAAGTCGGGCCTAAAATTCACGTGGGAGTGTAGATACCATCCTAGCACACAACCAACACAAGTCAGCAAATGCGATACCTCCTCGTACAACGTCTTGGGGTCCTCCTTTGAGTTTCTACCGGACAAGCTTCGATCCATCAACGCCACATACACGGTCAACGTCAAGGTGGTGCCCTTGAACTATGTATGCCTGACACAAGTTACGGCACCAGTAGGCGGATGCTTGCCAGATGAAACAGACATCAAAGCGTCCACAGCTTACACCGCTATCCAAGTAGTGGTTTACAGGGAGCTTGTATCGCTCCCGTCTGTCAACCTTGCCTTGATGTCAAACTCAAAGACGGTGGCTGGAAACCTTCCTCAAATGTTGACTCCCATTTCGATCAACATGTTGGATCCAAACCAACAGGTTGTGTTCAATGCCACCGTCGGCATTACATGCAGTGGAAAGTGCGACGAGGCAGTGAACTCAGTACAGACGATGACTTGGAACATGTTGCGAGGAGGCTCGTCAGGGTGTCAAACCGAGAGCGATTGGTGCAACCCAGCCAACGTGCAGGGGGCAAAGGAGGTGGTCGCTCCCAACACGCTCTTGGAGCCTTTGACTTCTTGCCAATGCCAGACGACTTGTTCTCTCACCACTCATCAGCTTTGCTCCTGCTTTGCATACCTCGTCATCAAGCCCTGTGTGCTCAAAGGCTCTCAGATCTTCACCATGGTGTTCGACGTGATCGACAGTGGAGGCAACGTCGTCAGTGCAAGCCTGAACTTCCAGGCGTACCAACAGCCGAGTGGGGGTGAATTGATCGTGACTCCCACCGCCGGCAAGTCGCTCGAGACGGAATTCACCATTGAGACCAGCGGCTGGGCCGGGAGTTGCACATCAATGTTCTTCTACTTCTCCTACAGCTTTCAGAACTGCAGCAACTCTTTCTGTGTAGTCCCGATCTCCTCGGCATCTTCTCAGAGGGTAGTCAAAACAGTCTTCCCTTCAGGAAACTTGACCGTCACTGTTCACGCTCAGTGCGGGACTCTGCCGTCTTGTACCTCGTCATCGTTGTCTGCTTCCGTGCAGGTGGAGGCGGCGACGTCGGCCGCTCAAGCTCAATTCATCGAAAAATTCCTTGGAAGCAGTCTCAACATGGACAACGTGCAATCGAACTTGGTCGTGCTGTCTGCAATTGCTTCGAGTCCCCAAAGTCAGCCTCACTTGAACGCATGCCTCAACATACTACAGAACTCATGGATGCGATCCAATTCTATCTTGCTCTCTCCACAGATCTCTACCATCCTCGGCCTCTTCACATCCAACGGCGCGCAACTCGATGCGAACGGGTTGTCCATCACCTCGAACCTCGTGAACAACATGACCTCAGCCCTGGTCCTCTCCTCTGCCGATAGCTCCTTCTCCACCTTCATCTCCAGTCAAGGTCGCTCCCTCGCGCTTCTTTTCGGAGTCATTCTCCAGGCGAACCAGAAGACATCCGTGCGGTTTCTTCACCCCGCGTACATGAGCTTGCAGCTGAGCAGGAGAGCCGGGGCTCTCAGCACCCAGCAGCAGCGACTGCTGACGAACCTCAACGGGTTGGTCGTGCAGAGCTCCATCCTCAGCGTTGCCGATCTCTTCCCTGGTTCACCTCCTGGCAACGTGTCCATCCCGGGATACTTCTACGCGGAGGTCTGGGTGCTCCAGGGGCTGGATATGCAGACGGGTGACTTTGCAGCTTCTCTTGACAGCAGGGCTGCCTTCCAACCGTGTATCACTGCGCGCGATGTCGCCACCTGCTGCCTGTCCAGTCAGCAATGCTGTGTCGATAGCCAGTGCCAGTACCCTTCGAGTGTAGAGGTTGCCTTCGGCTTTACCATAGTCCAGCAGAACATGTTTCCTTCGCTCTCGTCGGACGTCTACGAGGTGGAGCTGGGCATGTTCCCCGGCGACCCCTTCCAGCTCCTCGACTCTCGAGCCATCCTCAACGGGACGGCAGTCGTTCATGTCACCAAGAGGCCAGCAGTCGCAGTGGAGGACGTGTCTTACATCATTCGATTGCCCATGAGTGAGGCTCTGGCAGTCTCGATGCTCGAGAGCAAGGAGTTTGCGCCTGCGTGCTTGCGGTGGAATCCCTCGACCCTCAGCTGGTCGACCTTCGGGGTGACGCAGAGCAGGGGCTTCACTGCGACCAAGAGGATGTGCGCCAACACCTCGAGCGCGGTCACGTGCTCGTACTTCATCGAGTGCTCCTCCTCCTACACAGGGTACTTCACCATCGTGAAGAGCAAGCTGGACTGCTTCGGGGTCCCCCTGGGCTCGGCAGTCTTGGACGCCTGCGGGGTCTGTAACGGCGACAACTCAACGTGCTCGGGTTGCAACGGCATCCCGAACATGTACGATGCGGGAGTGAAGCTGGACAAGGCTTGCTCGGGGCATGGGCAGTGCCAGGGGTCGCCGCAGTGTGTCTGCTGCTCGGACAACAAGTACGAGATCAGCTACACCAGCCCCGACGGCCAGGTCTTGACCACCTGCCCCTGGTTCGGGGTGATGTGCAACCAGTACTGCAGCCCCGGGCCACGAGCGGCTCGTCCTCGCTCGGAGCGACTCAGACGATAGACTGCAGCTCTCATGGGAGGTGCGAGACTGTGAACGGAACCCTGACCTGCGCCTGCGACTTGGGATGGGAAAACTCGGACGGGAAGTTCTGTAACAAGGAGGTTGTGGTAGTGCAAAGCTTGAGCCGATCGTTGCAGCTCTTCTTCTATGCTGGTCTTCCAATCATCTGCTGCTTCCTGCTCATGTTCACGTTCCTGTCGTGGAGGCACGTGTCAAGGAAGCATCGGAACATCTTGAAGGTGAGCAAGGAGGTGAACAGGTCGCTGTTGGAGTTGGAAACAAGCAGCCAGGTAGCAGGCGAGGTTCAAGAGCTGAGCGAAGAGAGCTCGACGACTCATTCGCATCCTGAGGATCACAATGTGCCAGAGGTTGGCAAGGATGAAGGCTCCAGGGCCATTCAGCTTGTAGCTGGGAAGGAGCTGGAGATTCCTTCGGTAACCGCCTTCTTGACTACGTCAAAGTTCGAGGCGATCTCGGACACCTGCCCCTCAGACCCGGTGGTGATGAAGACGTTCCAACGGCTGGAGAGGCTCAAGCAAAAGATCAGCTCCGACAAGTCCTTCCGGAATGTTGCCGAGACTTTTCACGATCACGTCGACATGAACAAACTCGCAAAGGCGGGTGAACGCATGCCGACGTCGCTCAAGAAGGCCAAGGTGGAAGAAGATGCCCAAGTTGAAGTGCCAGGAGGCTTCATGCAGCAGCGCCAGCGCAAGATGATGGCAATAAGCCAAGGGAGAGCAGCCTCTGCACTGCCAAGCTTCATGGAGCGGAAGAAAGAGATGATCAGGAGGAAGAAGAGCCATGAGGTGGTCTTGTCGTCAGGCTCGAACAGAAAGAAGGACGCAGGCACAGAGCAAGACAAGTCAACTTCAACTTCCTCTGAAGGAAAATCATCCAGCAACGAGGGCGCGATCGCTTCAGTGTGAAAGTGAAGACACAAGCTCGAAGGGACAGCGATGTTCCTAGTTGGTACAGTTTTTGATAGTAAAGCTAATGTAGTCTGCTGCTGGTGCAACCGATCTCTACCGATCGCCGAAGTCTCCAGGTGTTCCGATCTCTGGGCCCTGGGGCACAACGCTCGACTGCAACCAGCCTTACCATCCACCCTCCCTCATCACCCTCCCTCATCCTCTGTCTCATCCTCATCCTCCTCTCCCACCCCCCGCGACACCCCTCCTCTCTCCCCCGCCGCCCCCCCAACTTCTTTGTACCCTTGGCTTACCTGCACGTCCAACACACGCTGACTCTCCTCCCACTCCGGCTGACCGGCATCGCTGTGGGTCCACATGGTGAGGTCGGTAGGGATCACGTGGGTGGCACAATGCTGTCCCGGTCCCATGAGACCAACTTTGCACAACCGCAGGGCCTGCCATCCATGTGACTCCACCACCACAACCATCACCACCACCACTTCCTCCTCCACCACCACCACCACCTCCTCCTCCTCCTCCTCCACCACCACCACCACCACCTCCTCCTCCTCCTCCACCACCACCACCAGCATTTCCTCCTCCTCCTCCACCTCCACCACTTCCTCCTCCTCCCCGCTCACTCACCTTGTCCGCCTCCTCCTGCATCTGGTAAGTGAACCCGCTCCATGCCAGGGACTGGCGGATCTGACGCCTCTGCTGGCGTACAGCCGGAACTGCTTGTTCGTTCGAGAACATGAGTCTGGTCATGACGACCAACGCTAACGCAACGACTGCGAGGAGAGCATACGACAAGTGCGTCCTCGCCCTGCTCGGCCCCGCCCCCCTTTCAAAGGTGCCGTCTACATCGAATGGGCCAGTCAGCCAGAGCGACAACTTGCCAGGAACAGAGGAGATTCGTGAAAAGTCATGAGACCAGGAAAGAAGAAGAGAAGTGCGTTGAGACGGAAGACCCTCACGGAGTAGAAAGAAGAGTAAAGAAAGGAAGAGAACAGTAAAGAATCCATTTGTCACCGAGACAAGGCGCACAGGAAAAATGGGATAAGAAACATTGAAACAAAAGAAGGCATGTCATGTTCAAACAAGCACTTGGACAAGAGTGAGAAGATGAAGTGCACAAAGAAGAAAAGAGAAGCGACATGGAACATAACTATCTTCATGAGAAAGAGAGATCGGTCAAAGAAAAAAAATTATGGAGGGTCGAGCCGAAGGAGGAGAGTACGAGAAAACCCGAGGAGGGCTGGAGCGTGTAAGAAGATGAGGAGGAAGCGGAGTAGCAGGAACCGTAAGAGAGCATGTGAAAGTGCAGGAACAGGAAGGGAAGCGCAATCTTTCATCAACAGAGCACAATGGCTGCATGGATCTCGTTGCGCCACCTCCCCTGCCGCCATGAAACTCACAAGCTGCCATTGAAGAGCCGACGCCAAGAGACATGCAATACCCCTACCCCCTTCTACATATGAACCTGCTATCATGGACCCCTTCCAAGACCTATTTTCACCCCCTACTTTCCCTGGTCGGTACCGTGTGTTTCATAACGAGGCGGACTCCGGGCGCCCGCAGCTTTCCACTGGCGTGACCGTGGGCCCGGCCCGGGCCAGCCTGCCCCCTCCGAGGCGGTCCGACCATCACTGAGTCACGCCGTGGCTGGGCCAACGCCCGGCCCGGCCCGGTGCGGCGCACCGTGCGTCGGGCCCCGGTGGCCCGGGAGCCACTGTGACCCGGGAGCCACTGTGACCCGGCCCGGGGGAGTCCGGCGGAGGCTGCCGGGGCAGGCCGGGCACCGTGGCGGCTCCCGGGGGCGCGGCGGCCCACGGCGGCGGCCGTGACGGCCGCCGCCCCTGCGTGCGACTCGGAGTCAGGAGCGGGCCCGGCGGCCCGGCCGCACTGTGCCGGGCACTGGCATGCCATGCCAGTGACGGGCCATGCCAGTGACAGTGAGTCACTGGCTCAGTGAGTGCCAGTTCCGAAGTTCACTGCCAGGACGGCTCATTGCGGATCCGATGCCACTGATCCGATGATCATCCGGAATGTCAGTGTCGCCCCGCCCGGCGGATGGGCACAGTGATCACCCACCCAGTGACCCTCAGGATGCCCTCGGATTACCGTTAAGAACTTTGATCAGTAACGAGTCTCAAAGTCACTGTTTGTATGTAGGCTGCGAGCCTGTTGGCGGATACTCTACAAGCCTGAGGACGTCCAGTCAACTTGAGCTCCCCAGGGTGTTTGCCGGAGGATCTCAACAAGATTGTCCCGTTTCACCTAAGTGTCCAAGCGACTTCAGTCGGGCCCTCAAGAGTTCGTCCTCTCACCTTGTCCGCCAACGATGCCCACAGCTCGACCTTGCTCCGCGCGTGCTTGGATTCTTGAAAGGCCTGCTGTAGGACCAGAGTTGGACGGAGCGAGCAGAAGCTAGATCGAACCATCTCTCTGACGGACAAGGCGGAAGCTGAGGAGGAGCACCAGCACTCGATCCAAGACACCATGGTCCCGAGACACACCTACCGCAGGCAAAATTTGAGGAGGCAAGGTAGAGAAAGCTGCAAGACCAGACCTGTCGCACGAACGCATCGTCGTCTGAACCAGCAGCGCAAGGGTCGACCAGGAGAGCATCGCGCACATCCAGCAGTTGAGTATGCCCAGCGTGAGGTAAGGTAGCCTGCAGGCACATTCAGCACGGTTCCCAGCTCCTTCAACTCCTCCACTGCGTACAAGAAGTCTTGGCGCTCCCGACTTCTCCAAAGCCGAGTAGAAAGCTACATAGTTGGCTCCGTACGGTGCACACATCCCTTCATCCGCCTGTAGAGACACGATCACTCTCTTCCATTCTTAGCTTGTGGACGCACCTGAGCCCCGACGATGGCGACGGGGACTCGCAAGTTTGTGAGGAGAGGTAGCATGGTGTCCTGGACGGCCAGTCAGTGAGAGGGAGAAGGAGGATAGTCCTACAGGTTCATAGTTGGTGCTGTCGACGGGGTCGAAGAGGACAAGAGCTCCAACTCGGCCCTTCGGTCCGGATTTGGAGAGCCAACGGTTCAGTGCCTGGAAACGAGAGCTCTGCCTCACCTTGAAGGCGCTCGCTGCTCCAATCGCGAGCTTAGCTCCTCGTGAGTGACCCACGAAGATGACAGGAAGCTCTTGATCCAGCTCAGCCATGTCCGACACAATGGGTGGCGGGGTGACGCCCTCAGCTGACGCCGGGCTGACGGGACTGACACCTGCTGGTTGAAGTTTGACCGCTGCCGATGCAGCGGACGATGAGCGAGGAATTTTGCCTGCAGCTGTCAGGAGCTCGTTGCTCTCTAAGGCTGCTACAGAGTCTCTTTCCGCCCGCATGATCTGCCGGATGAATCGCCTAGAGCTCGAGCCCGATGTCCCAGCACCTACCCCTGACTTCAGAACCAATCCAAACACGGTCCACGGCGAATGCAAAGAAATACCTCCTCGGATGCTGCTGCTGCTGCTGCTGCTGGTGCTGCTGGTGCTGGTGCTGCTGCTGCTGATTCCAACTTTCTCATATCTCGGAGATGTTTCAACCACTGCAGACGACAAGCAGCAAACCACCTGTCAGATTCCCTAATGAAGGAGAGCTCCTGCTCGTACTGCAAGGCCTTCTTCGTCTCCCGGATAAGATCGCTAACACCTGCGGCCCTAGCCTTGTGAGGCTGCCTCGTTCGCCCTGTCCTCTACCTTCTTTGATCGTCTTGGGATCTACAATCGTGCTCCCATCCTCGAACAGTCTGACCGCGTAACCCAGCTGCTGTAAAGCCCTGAAGACATCCGGTATCATGAGCGGAGTAACCACAAACGAAGGCTCGTCACTTCGCATAGCTGTCGTACTGGAACGAAGGGATCATGAAGCCTCCAGCAATCATCACAACCGCGATCGGGGTATGATTCCCCGCTGGATTATAATGCAGTCGATGCTCTGCTCATGAGTCAGGTTGGCTGCACGCCAGATAGCGGGTCACCTGGTCGAGATTCCAACGTGGTTTGAACGAGCTTGCTGGTTCGTCTCTTCCTCTCGCCCTGTGCCTCGGCGCCTTGAGGAGCCAGGAACTGCTCAGAGGTCATTCGATTTCTCCCTCCTCTGTGGGTCACCAGTGCTCCCATTCCTCTTCCTAGCACCTCCAAGTACTCCGATCTTGAGACCCTCGAAGCCTCTCCCACCATCTTTCAACCAACTCATCAGCCCAGGCCGAATCAAACATTTGTTTACAAACACACGTTCGTCAACACTTTCCTCTTACTTGGACCACAACGCAATTTTATCCCCTGTCGCACAGTGTGAATCGCTTCTGCCAGAAAAACTACGAACTACGAGAACTACAACTCACATTGATGCCTATACGAGGAGTCAAGAGTGGCGTGAAGACGAAGCAGGAGATTGAGTCTTGTTGTATCGTCGAACTTTTTTGAAGCAAAAGGCTTAAGAAAATGCCACACATTGCAAACTTAACGCTCATGGTCTCCTGTCCTGCTTCGTAAGTTCCTACAAAATTCTCGACTGTTGCCCTCCCCGCAGTAAAAGCCGTGGCTCTGTTTCCCGCTTGCTTTCTCCACTGCTCTTCCTTGCTGTTCTCTCCCTCGTCTCCCTCCCTCTCCTCCCTCTCCTGGCGATTCCTCGTCGCCAAACAGACCAGGTGACGGAGAACTGACCGAGAACGGGGCGCTAGTACACCATTCCAGGCCTCGTACAAAGTTGTAAAAGATAGTCAACATGGATATAAAACTCATTTTAGAATTCAGTTATTGAAGGTATTTTTGCTCAATAAAGATGAGTAAACAAGTTCACTGTTTGTTAAGGAAATTTGGTGGAGGTGTCCCAATATGTATTAACAAATTTGAAATATTCAAAATATATTTGATATATGAATCATCAGCGGGTCATCTAGCATCACGGGATTTTTGAAGCCTAGAAATTGGGGTAGCATTAGGGATTTGATGGGGTGGTGAACATGAAATGGCTTCCAAACAGGGTGGGTCCTTTTTCAAATTCACGACCTTGGTGTTGGACATCCACCTACCCCCACCCAATGAATACACGTACCCCACATCCATCAACCAATCATGTCACTCAAATGGGGGTAGGGGTTATTGAACATTTGATCATGATTTCACTCAAGCGCACCGGTGTTTCCATCACCCCACCCCCCTCTTTGACTCAGGCAAGCAGCCTCCGTTTCAGGCTAGACCCACCCCCCCTTTACCTTTTGAAAACAGATCTTCATCCCCACCCTGTCTCGATCGCAACAATTGGTACCTCCACCCCTCAACCCACCGGGAACAATCTTACTACCCCACCCTCCTAGAAGCAGAATCTACTACCCTCTATTTGGCGCTAGTTCTAGCGTCTTGAATTCAGCACACTACCCTATCCTTTGACCACTCTTCCACCTACCCTACCCTACTTCACCAGGTCCAAGGGTCAAACCACCCACTTACATTTTACCCCTACTACCTCCACTTTACCGTGCATGCCACCCCTATCCGAATCAGATATTCAACAGGCGTACCACCCCTTGAGTGCCTCCATCCCCACTTCTACCCCCACCCCTTCATCCGCTCAAAATTTGAAGCATCCCACCCCGTGCCCCACAAACTACCTCCGATTCTTGTGACTACCCCTGCTCGACTTCACCCCTACCCGTAGAATAGAACTGGGCTATGACACCCCTACCCCCGATTGCAAGCATATTTTCGATCCACCCCTACACCAAACCACCCCCCTTGCTCCCTGGTTTCTTCGCTCCTTACCTGAGTGAGACTTCGCTAATGGTGCGTCCTCGGCGGCTCGCGTCGTCCTGTCGTAGCCTTCCGCACATGCTCCCGCTCTCTTAGCCCTCTGCTTCCTCCATGCAGTCGTTCTAAGTGCCTTCCCGCTCCTCCTGGCAGAATGCTCCTTGAGGATACCCGGTGAAGCTTTCACGGTCTGCAAAGAGGTCCATTTGAATACCACGGTTACTCTGAAGGCGATCTGGCATACTAGCTTGACGAATCTGATAGAATCTAGCTGTCCAGTTGCAACCCAGTGATATTTGGAAGAATGTCTGAAGGCAAGGGTGATGAAAAGGATAACCCTAGCAGTACCTCGCCGGAAGAAGGAGGCACAGTTTTTGATTTGCATGAGATCGCCATAGAGCAAACATCATTCACTGATGGGGGACCCAAAAACAGCACCAGTAATGACGGCAACAATTTTGAAGGGAACATGAGAAAAGATTCAAAACGCAAAAAAAGCAAATCTTCGAAAATAGGTAGAATACGAAAGAGAAGGAAATTGGAGACTGCTAACATGATTTTAGCGAAAGACACCGAAATATCAGCACATAGGCAACTATGGGCTCAGTGCGATTTGTGTTCCAAATGGCGGAGGCTGAAACAGGACTATTCTTTAGACTCTAACGCAACTTTCGTGTGCTCAGATCTTGAGGGATGGTCGTGCAAAGATCCAGAGGAGAATGCCGATGGCCTCCTGGATGCGGAGGAACATGACGCTAACGACAGTTCGGGTGTGAAGAGGAACGCGAAGAGAGGATATGCAGTGTGTCCTTCATGCAAGTCGATCGTTGAGAGAGGGAAGGGTGGGAGAGAAAAGCTTACTAGGGTGCTGGAAAAACATTTCCATGCATCTCCCCTTTGCCGGCCAATTGACAAAACAACGCCTCGCATTGTTGCAGCTATTGTGCTAGATCTATCAGACCGGTTGCCTTACAGAGCAGTGCTGCGCAAGGATTTGAAGTTGTGGGACAAATTCACAGAAAAGTGCAGAAGCTGCGCTTCCTTCTCAGAAGCTACTCGACAGCTGCTCTGGCTTTACCGACAACTACGATCCGAGGTTTTTGATCCCAGCTGGAATGCAGAAAGAAGACAGAAATTTGTCTCTGACTGCGAAACTTGCGATGATGCGTCCTTTTCCATCAAATTGACACAACAGCTTGAGTTGGAGGCGATAGATTGGAATGCAGTTCACAAGCTTTGGGCTGTTGAACGACCAGGACATGAAGCAGAATCAGTAGAGTCAGCGGCGAAGGAGGTTCCGTCAGACGATGAAACTCTACAAGGTCAGAAGAAACGTAAGAACAGTAGACGAAAGCGGTTTGTTCCCCGCAAGCGGATCCGGGTTAGATCGTCCCAGAAGGGCTCATCGAATGCTTCGGTCGATACTCCTGATGGATCCTCTGGCAATCAGGATGACGAGGAATACCAGACTGAGAACAGTGACAACGAGCAGTTTGAAATCTTTACATCTGAAGGAGTGGGTAAGGGAGAGGAAGACGATGAGCAGGATGATGAAGATTGTGTGGATGTCAAGGAATCACCCAATCACGATGACAGTTTTCACAAACAAGATGAACCAGCAGAAAGCGTGGCTGGTACATTTACCGACTCTGATGATACGCACATTACTGTTGGCACATTAGTTGAAGTGTTGCTAGACGACGATACAAAAGCACTTGCAATAGTCTCCGGAGTGCCGGAACAGTATGATGATGTGCCAGGACTTTACGAGATCGTCTTCTTTGATGATCAGTATCAATTGGCATTGAATGACAGGTTGAGGCTTGCACTCCCCAACGACTATGTGGAAGTGTTGCTTGTATGTGAAGACCACAAAAATCTTCCACGCGGATGGATTCCAATTCCGTTGGCTGATGGTACTTGTTTCGTTGGACCCCAAGGAGAAGTTTGTGTCTCTGTGGAGGAAGTTCTCAAGGTGTTTTATTGTCTCTTTCCTGCGTGTTCTGTTGCCGTGATAGTAACACTTATGTGGCAGCACTCAAGTTCAAGGGATAAGTTTCCACCGGTTGGCGATTGCACGAAAATCATACCAAATGCTGATAACGAAATGAAACCTTCAACATATGAAGTTAAGGATAGGGAAGTGTTGGACACACCAAAGGTTGTCACGGCAGAGAATCTTTCGGACTCAACGTCGGAAACTACGCTTATACCAACGCAGAAACCAGAACCCCCCCAGGTGCATGTGGGTGTCTCAGGCTCAGGTAGCTTGAAGCTGACTGGATCGTTCAATCCTTCTGATTCCTTTGTCAACAGGAACTTTGGATGATAACGTAACTTCCGCTGCAAGATCCAGCAAAGAAAGCAGGGACGACACTGAGAGTTCAGAAAACTCTTCAAACAAATCCACTGCTGCGACGAAAGCACCAGAAGGGACCAAGGATGATAGTCACGAGAAAAATCAAGATGCAACAGGAATAGAAAAAGGTGGTGTGGATAAGTCAGTAATTCAGAAGGAAAATCATAGATTGAATCAATCGCACAATATACATGAAGGGGAATCCATTGGATTGGAGACTCGACAATCTGCCAGTAAGAATCAATCAGAGAGCATGTCAAGGCGGAGCGACAGCAATGTGGTGGAGTCCAACAAGCATGCATCAGATCGGCAGGATTCTTACGAAGGATCTCAACGACCAGCCAAGAACTCATCATTGAATCGCAATATGAAACGACGCTCGAACGATGAGCGAGGGTCTGATCCCATGTTTTGCATTGCAGAACTTGACGACAAAGAGCTCTCTCCGATCAAAAACCCGGCAAGGAATTCGAACGGTTCACAGACCCATAGTAATAACAGCTCAGACAAATCATCTCGCAAGAGTGAGGTACTGCTGAGCTGTTGAATGTTCGTGTTTTGTCGAAAGGTTTCTGTTTTTGCCCAAATGCATCATTATTCACTTAGTTCTTTGTTTGACCGACCTTTTTAACTTGTTATCGGCAGGCTTCTTCGAAGAAAGGAAGGAAGGAGAAGCAAGAGAATTCTAGTCATGAGTCTGGGACTGTGATTCCATGGCCAGCAGTGGGAGAAGAGATAGAGATCCGCTCTGACACTAACGGACGAGCATGGTTGTTGTTGTTTTCTCACCCGTGGTTCGAGACTCATGGATGGCACTGCCAGGTGGGATGCAGAGATCTTGGCGAAGCGAACGAGGGACAACGGCAAAGTAGAAATGCTGGTGAGATTCATCGGGTTCGAAGAGATGGACGAATGGGTTGTGCAGGGCAGCGCAGGTAACATCCTGACTGCTAGCGCGTTGCTTGGTCACATGATACCTGCAGACATGCGGCCGAGATCGAAAGCGTTCTCAAACCAGGAGGAGTGCCAGCTAGAACGCAAAGTTGTGGCCTTGACCTCGTTCGGTCAGTGGTTTGACGGGACGATTGAGGCGATCAAGAGGAAGAGGTAAATCTGCTTGTGCGAGGCGAAGTCAGTGACGTCTCGTGCGTAGGAGCACCAACAAGATGATGTTCCAAGTGCGTTACGATGAGCCTGAGGCTTGTCTTGATAACAATGGTACCTTCTCCTCATCGCCCCCTGAGCTCATGCTGCCCCTCCAGGCAAGCCCGTCCACGTGGAGTGGCGGAGAATGAGCAGCCTGCGGGAGCGAGGTGATGAGGGCAAGTCCCCTGCGACAGACGCTCACAAGAAGCCAGCCGCAGACCCTCCGAGCATGAGCAGCGTCAAGCCTTCCAGAGGCAAGTGATGGTCGGTCAGATGCGGAGCTGGAGGGACTGGTGGGCGGCGGCTGGCATAGCATGTAGCATTTATGTACAGGAGATGAATACTAGCAGTAAGAAGGCAATCGGTCGATCTTGCTTGGTTTGAGCGGTGGCGCTGAGTTCGCGGGCTTTATTAACAGCTCGAGCGATTGTACACGCGACATGGAGCGAAAGGAAGAATAAGGAGAGAGCAGGAGAGGCGGCGGCGGAGCAGGTCAGTCTTACTCTGAGTCAGAGTCAAACTTCATCTTGGTCGCTTTCTGGTTCAGGTCGACATCCTTGAAGTGCGCGCCGAACAGCTTGTGCTCCTTCTTCTTCACGTGCGTACCGAACTTGGTGAGAGCCTCGGGCACTTCCTGTCCGGCCTCCCTCAGGACGTTGCAGAGCTCGCCGGCTCTTGCCTTGTCGAAGCTGCAGACCTGTGAGCGAGAAGTGCAAGGAGACAAGAACAAGTAGAGGAGGGAGGCGGAGGAAGAGCAGCGCAAAGACGGCAGAGGGCAGGGAGGGGACGAGGAGGAACCTGGTAAAGAAGGTGTGGGAGACGCCTTCCTTCCCTGCTCGTCCCGTTCGACCGATGCGATGCACGTAGTCCTCGGTCGTGAGCGGGAACGTGTAGTTGATCACGTACTCGACGTCGGGGATGTCGAGCCCTCGAGCAGCAACGTCCGTGGCAATGAGCAGAGGCACTGTACCGGCCTTGAAGGCCTCGATCGCTGCCGTGCGAGCCTCCTGCCCCCTGTCGCCATGGATGGCCCCGACCTTAAAGCTCGTCTTGGACTCCACGAGGGAGTGGACGCGGTCGCACTCCTTTTTGTACAGGGCGAAGATGATGATGCGGTTCTTGCCGCTGTGGTACTTCTTGAGGACCTCCAGCAGCCGCCTGTCCTTGGCTGCCGGCTCCAACACCTGCCCGACGTCAGAGTGAGCTGAGGGGAGGAGCAAGGGACGAGGAGAGGGGAGAGATGTGGAAGAGTGTAGAAGAGAACGGAGATGAAGGGAGGAGGGGGAGGACAAGGTGATTGAGGAAGACAAGCTGAACGAGTGGGGGAGGAAGAGGGGAAGGAGGGCGGAAGGGGAGAGGGAGAGACGAGGACGAGGAGGGGGAGGCTCTGACCTCGACGATCTGCTTCACCCTGTGATTGGCCGCGAGGTCCTCCGACCCGACCGTCACTCTGGCAGGGTTGGACAGGAACTCAGCTGCGATCTTCTGGATGCTCTGGGGCCAGGTAGCTGAGTACATGACCGTCTGGCGTTTCTTCGCGCAGGCTCCGATGATCTTTCTCACCTCCTTCTCGAACCCAACGTCCACCATCCTGTCTGCCTCGTCCAGCACGAGGAACGTGACCTTTCCCAGCTCGATGACACCCTCGTCCATAAAGTCCAGCAGGCGGCCAGGAGTTGCCACCAGGACCTGCGCAGACATCCAATCAGACCTCGCCAGCTGCGTTGCCTCTGCTGCTGCCTCGCCTGCGCTCCGCCCTTGAGCTGCTTCTTCTGCTCGGGCTTCGGGGCTCCTCCGTAGATGCAGACGGTCTTGATACCCAGCGGCTTCCCCGCAGATTCAAGGACGACAGCACTCTGAGTAAGCGATGAGAGAAGCAAAGGAGGAGAAGGGGGAAGAGGAGGAGGAAGCAGGACGAGGAGAGAAATCAAGAGAAGGCGAGGAGGAAGGACGAGCGGAGGTGTAGAGTACGGGAAGGGATGGTGAAGACCTGCATGGCGAGCTCGCGGGTTGGGGCGAGGACGAGCATAGAAGTGTGGGGGGCTTTGGCTTGGTGGAGGGAGAGGATGTGGGTCAAGCCCGGGAGACCGAAGGCGAGAGTTTTGCCGGAGCCAGTGGCTGCGATGCCGACGAGATCGCGACCAGAAAGACAGACAGGCCAGCACTGAGACTAGATGTGGATGAGAAACGAGCGCGAAGAAAGGGAAGGAGAAGGATGAAAAACAGGAGGAGAATGGGATAAGAGAAAGAGTGATCAGGAGGAGGTAGAGCAGGTAGGAGCCTTACAAGGGGAGAGGAGGAGCGTTACCTGGATAGCAGTGGGCTTGTCGAACTTGGCGCAGCACTCAAGGAGTTCGGGGATGACAGGGAGGTTGTCGAAGGAGAGGATGGGATTGAGATCGCAGTTCTCAACCTTCAGATTGACAGATTCTCGGAAAGAATCGACCTCTTCCTTCCCCATCTTCTTCACTCCCTTCTTCTCCTTATAGAAGTCGAAGCCGCTGGTCTTGCGGGGCTTCTCCTCCTCCTCCTCCTCCTTCTCCTCCTTCTCCTCCTCCTTAGCTTCTTGCTTCTTCTTCTTCTTCTTCTTTCCATCTCCTTCTTCACTTGATTTCTCCTTCTTCGTTTCCTCCTCCTCCTCCTGAATCTCCGGGTCAAATCATCTTCTCTCCTCTCCAACCGCGCTCTCACCTTTTCCTCGCGCTTCCTCTTCTTGTCTTTCTTCTTCTTCTTCTTGTCTTCCATCTCCTCGTCCTGCTGAAATCCGTCAACACTCGCTCATCATCGTCTGCAAGCAGCGCTGTACCTCCTCTTCCTCCTGCTCCTCCTCCTTGCTCTTTCCCTTCTCCTTCCTAGACAAGTTCGTGAGGGCGAAACTCTTGCCAGGAGCGCAAGCTTACTCGTCCTTCTTCTTTGGCTTCTTCTTGCTCTTTTCATCGTCTTCATCAAGCTCCATGTCGTCTGTCTTGCTCTCCTTCGCCTCCTTCTTCTTTTCCTTCTTCTTCTTCTTGCTGCTGCTGCTGTCGTCCTCATCGTCGTTCTTTTCGGACTTGGATTTCTTGCTCTTTGTTTCTTCCTCGACATCTTCATCAGACTTGGAAGAGTCCTCGTCCTTCTTCTTGTCCTTCTTCTTCTTCTTCTTCTTCTCCTTCTCTCCATCCTCTTCCTCCTCCACGGCCTCTGACTCCTTCTTCTTCTTCTCCTTCTTCTCCTTCTTCTCCTTCACCTCATCGTCCTCCTTCTCCTCCTTTTCAGCTGCAGATTGCGGCTGAGCTGTCGGTTTCTTCAGCAGATCTCCAACAACTTCCCACATCTTCTCGGCCAGCTGAGGCTGGCGCTGCAACGCAAGAGAGTTCTTGGCGAAGTTGACAAACGCCTTCTGCTTGGTGGGAACGTTGTCGTAGGCCAGGAGCTTCTTGCACAGCTCGCGGATCTTGGGGTCGATTTCTTGCATCTTCGCCTCGAGCTGAGACTTCCAACTTGTGGCTCCGCTCTTGCTCTTCATCTTCTGTAAGTACTTGATGGCTGCACGCGCTAGGTCAGCAATCGACCGACACGACGGCAAAACTAGCGAGCAAACAGGAGCAGGGAATGATCGAACAGTCAAGAGATGCTATGTGACAACTCGGAAGACAGTCTTTTCCTCCCCTCCACGTCCTTCTCTCACGCAACTAACAAACATACAACAAGTGTCCCCACCACAAACCACAATGAACAAGCAACCGGTCATGCGAGAAGTGACGGTCACTCACTCTTGATCTTGTCGTTGTCGCAGAAGTCAACAGCTCTTGCGATCTCTTCCTCGCTGAACCCTTCCATCTGAATCCCGAGCGTCCTTCCCGCTCCTCCCCACCCTCCTTCGGCTGGCACTCCAGGCATTTTCGCACGTGCGATACCCTCTGGGTCCCTTGCACCAGTGTACGTGGACCTGGTGGGTGTTTGTGCTGATTCATACCGGTATATATATCCTCTTTTGTTGCGTAAATGGACCGGTAGTACCACCACCCCTACCCTCTCTTGTAACAACCAATAAGATGACTGTCGGAGGCCCACTACTACTTGACTTAAAACTTTGAGTAAAGAACTACAAACGTGTGACCGTCAGACAACTTGGCAACGCGTCGAGTGAGTCACTGAAGGTCAGTCGGCCCGGCGGCCCGCCCCGCAGTGGCCGCGGTCACCGTAGCCTCCGAGCCCGGAGCAACGGGGGCGTGAACTTTATTCCGAAAGTTAAGTTAAAGAGTCAGTCAAACGTCGGCGCGGCCCGCGGCGACCGTACTCGAGTCAGTATCAGGGCCACCCCGGCGGCACCCGCCCCGCCGGGCCACCCGCCGCCGGGGGGCAGCGGCCGCACTGGGCGCGCCGTGTGACGGTGCCCGGGCCGCCTGGGCGGCCGGGCCGGGCCCGGTGATCGGACCTGGGCCCGGCCAGTGAGTCCGCAGGCCCAGTGAGTCCCAGAGTGAGTCCGTCCGACCGGTCCGTGAAGCGGGGATGAGGGTTGCCATCGTGTTGGGGCTCATCTCGTCGGAATGAGGATGGCGATGGCGATGGCGATGGCGATGGCGATGGCGCTGCTGCGAGGATGCGAAGAAGCTGATGGCGAAGGCACGAGCGCCATGCTTCTTCCTGGACGTCCTGGCTTGTGGAGCTCGATGGAGGGAAGTCCTGCATGCTGTCTGCAGAGACTTCGAGGAGGATACAACCCCGGGGGGCTAGTGCAGGAGCAGACGTTCAAGCTGAGTAGGATGAAGCAGAAGCTGGAGAAATTGGTGGCAGCACAACGTTGGGACGATGCATACACCCTTGCTGAGGCCTTGAAGGAGCAGAATGAGAAACTAGCTCGATGTTTGGGTGAGGACAGTTCGCAGGTATCATCCCATCAGATTTTTGAGAAGGATCGTGAAGTCGAGAGCCAACCGTTCATCTTGTCGCGTGCAATAGAAGAAAGAGAAAATGCTGTAGCAAAGGAGGTCGCAGCACTGAACCGGAGAATTTTCTCGAAATCAGAGCGACTACTCATGAATCCAAGGAACACCATGCAGGTGACCTACCAACGATTGCAGGCCGCTGCTGGCATGCCGGATGATGACGTGAGGATAGACCCATCGATCGAGCAGGTCTTGAACTATATTTTCCTCCAGTGCACTGATGGACAGGTTGAGTTCAGGATGGAATTCAGCAAAGGCTCGACACACCTTACATCTTTGCCTACTCCAAGGAGACCAATGGCGAGAAGGAATACTTTTACATCGTGTTGAAGACCTGTCATATCCCATTGAGGAATGGAAAGATGGCAAGACTGATTCGCCTCAAGAATGACACGTTTGTCCTTGTGAAGTCGGAAGAAGATCTGTTCTACCTTGCGTCAGCAAAGAACGTAACTCCTCGTGCGTTTCCCTCCTTCCTGTTATCGGGCTGCTGTTGATTCATGCTCCCCTCGCAGAGCTTCCTTATCACATAGGAAAAGAGAAACCGACCAACCCCTTCAAGAAGATCGAACGGTCCTGCCCTCCTTTCTCCTCCTCCTGCAAGTCACGAGCCTGGAAAACAGGCACATTCAGCGCGACTGGCTGATGCAACAGGCGGAGGACATGTGTTGGGATGGCGAGGCAAGAGACTTGAACGAGGCCCTTCACTTGCTCAAACGTCGGGTGAGCTCAAGAAGACAATGGTACAGGTACTCGATACTCCTCACTCAGTTGGATCTCTGACGGGGAAGGATACTCGAGCAGCATCCGCAGGCCATGTCTGCCTCTGTCGCGTCTACTCTTCGTTGAGAAGATGAAGACAGCGGAGAGAGATGGGGTGAGCAGGATACATTGGATGACTATGAGTCTTGCTCTTACAATGTATCCTTCTGCAGGACTTGGATTTTCTTCTGAGCAAGGCGTGTCTGGAGGGAAACGCGACCTTGGCAGAGAAAATCCTGCAATCTGGGGCCCAAGTGAATGCGCAAATTCCTGAAAATCTCAACATGACGGCGTTGCATTGCGCGGTAAGACATGAGCTCACGTGCTCGTTCTGCACAGGCAGAGACACCAAGTGCTGACGATCTCACGTCAGGCGCAAGCCGGATGGTTGAACCTTGTGAACCTGCTTCTGAAACACGGCGCTGACGTGAACGCGACGAACTTGCACGGTCAGACAGCTCTGCACAGATGCGCTGAGAAAGGTGGGAACTACGTGGTGGATATACCGATCGCCTTCACAGCCAACCTTCCCAAAGTGAGTGACATGAACGCTTCGGACATCTCTTTTACCTTCGTCCCCCGCGTGGGAGGAGACTGGAGGGACCAGGGGTCCTTAGCAGTCGCTCGTCGCCTTGTTGCGAGGGGTATCGACCTTTGGGCGAGGGACAGTCTGGGAAAGACGGCAGAGATGATGGCGGACGACAGCGGACGATTTCAGACGAGGGACTACCTGCGGAGACAGATGAGAGCTGATGAGAACGGGACGCTCCCGGGTGACAGGGCGGGGTTTGCTCCTGAAGACATGACGTGGGAGAGGATGATGGGGGACGAGGAGGCAGTGCGAAAGTGGCGTGAGGGGGCGGAGGCGAGGATGAAGAGGAAGCAGGAGGAGGCACTTGCGAAGCGCGAGGCTCTCGAGTTGGCGATGGAATCCGGCGATTTCTCCAGATACCCCACAACGAAGCTGCATCAGCAAGAATCGCAGGACTTCATTAAGGAAGTAATCGAGACCTACGAAGAGCTGGAGGCTAAAAACCTGACGCACTACCTCTTTGAAGACGTTCGGGGGTGGTTTGGAGTAGAGGTGGAAGAGGCCCTGGACAAGTACAGGTCCTCCGAGGAGGTTCAGGACGAGAATGACATCGTTGCTCTCATCAAGGACGCTGAGCGCACCCTGGCTAAACAGCAGCAGGCTTCCCGCCATGATCGCCGCCCCTGAGAAGGAGAACCTTGAACGAAGACTGCGGCATTGCTGGGCCACCTGCCGCGCCGGCATCATGTCACTGACTGATAACCTCGGACTCCAGACGATCAGACGGTCATCAGACCGCTTGCTGGGGCCGCTGCCGGGAGCGCTGAGCAGAAGCTATCATCTAAACGGCAACTGCCGGTTCCTTCCGAAGTTCAGCTTGGAACCTCCTGGCCCGCAACTCCGAAAGAACTCGTCCAATCCTGCTAGCGGCGCCATGGCAGCTCGCTACCCGTTTGACCACTTTCTTTCTTTTACACTAATAGTAAAATCCACGACAAGAATATTACAAATGACCTTTTTTTAAGGAGGGCATAAATTCTGAATTGTATGGGTGTACCATAATAAAATGAATAAATCTATACCAATATATATACTTACAGTAGAAAACGTGGAAGATATCAGTACAGTCGGAATCTAGACATTTGTACCAGGACACTTCGGCCCGGTGAACATATTTTGGGTTTTTAGTAGAAGTAGCAGTTTTAGATTTTACAACGGGGAATTTTAAAAGACTCAGCTCAAGTTTATTTATGCGGCGGTCCAAGGAGGAGGCGAGGGCGACGAGAGTCTTGAGCAAGAGGACAGAGAGAAAGTGATCAGAAGAGGAGAGCGTCAGTTGGAGAGAGAGAGAGCGCTAGGGAGAGCAGAAGAGGCACTGCGAGAGTGAAGAGCGCGGGATACCTAGCGATCGTGGGCGTGCAAAATTTGTAGCAGTTTATGTACCAGAGGCGTGGAGGACGAAGAGATCCACAAGGTTGAACAGAATTGAAGGGGAAGAAGGAAGAAACCATGGAGAGCAAGATGAGTGAAGAGGAGGAGAAAGTTGCGAGGAAGCCGTACTCGATCAAGGATTTTGATGAAGGAGGAAAGCCGTGCCAGGGGATGTTGTGGGACTCCTTGTACAGTTCACGCAGAGGTGACGAAGACAAGTTTCAGCAAGATGGGGAGACTTCATGCCGAGCAGATATGGACGTGGAGATTGCTGGCATGCACACACACATGGCCAAGGTGGTAGTTGCGCATAAGGCCACAGCCCCGAATCAAATTTCTCTTGATGTTGGCGAACTTGTGGAGGTGCAAACGGGGAATGGGGCATGGTCTCTCGGGTGCGTGCTCAAAGAAGACAAGAAAGTGAAGAGAGACGGATGGTTCCCCACCTTCTGCATCGCGTCACTCACTGAGAACTTGATGCGCGGGTCGCAAGGGACGCCCCTCGTCTCGGAGCAGGATCTGATATCGGCGTCGTTCACCCACTCTCAATTTCCCATGGTTTCTCCGCTGAATAGAGGCAGCGAAGGTATACTTGTGTTCTCCTTTTCCTCCCGGTCTCCTCACGAGGAACTGCAGCGTCATACTCAACACCCAAGCGAAGTGAATCCGACGATGAAAGCTTTTCCGAAGATGATTCCGCTGACGAGGACGAGGCCGTCGAGAATGTAAAGTTCAGCTATCGCTCTGCTCCCAGAGTGAATGCCTTGCAGGATTATCGTGATGACAATAAAGAGATCGCGAGGCATGTTGAAGAAACGAGGTGAGCTCTGCTGGTAGCCTTGTATGCCTGAGCGATTTCCCGTTTCAGGTCAAAGGTTTTCGAGGATTATCCGCGCGTCGAAGAGTCGGCCTCCTTCAATGCCTCCCTTCTTGGCTCCAGTAACTCCAGCACCTCACACAAGAGCCAGAACCCTCATCCGGACAACTTTCCGAGCGAAGCTGCCCAGAAGTTCGCGGCCTTTGTCCCCGAGGAGGCGGCCTCCCTGCCCTCGAGGAGAAATTTTGATTTGGACGATCAACTGGACAAGGACTTAGAAGAGCTGATCAACCTGACAAATAGACGAGATTCAGATCTCCTTCCCCGAACACCAATCAAACAGTCCCCCCAGACCGCAACCGGAGCAGCTTCCTCCCTGCTGAAGTCTTCCAGCTTGACAGAGGCTCTCGCCAGTATTCAGTTGGAGCCGTGGTGAGTGTTTCACTGTTGACATGTTTGTCGAGATTGTTCTGTCATGATGTTGAGCATGAAGGCTGACATGCAGTCCAGGTCGGTGAAGGGACAAAGGAATGGCGGAGGAAACGAGTCTGTGTCCAAGGACGAACTGCTCGGCCCCCTCCTTGGCAGTCAGGAATCAGCAAAGGAGACGAAACCTGAGAGCTCAGTCGACGCCCAGAAGATCTCGAAGACGCGGCACATGTCCATCTCCTACTCTGAACCGATCAAGAAGCGGAACAATGCTGTCGTTGACTCTCCTGTGCCGGTCTCGTCACTTGGCAGGATCCATCTTGGCCAGGAGGAGCTCTTCCCCAATGCAAGCTTTTCGGGCAACCACGGAGTGCGGCGTCACTCAGCGATAGATGTAGCCAACAAGACAAACTGGTCGAAGGGAAGCTTTCAAGACCCGAAAGGCCTGGTGGTCAAACATCTCGGCGAGACTGAGTTGTACCCTGGCTTCATGATGTAGAAGTTCTTTCTCTGCTCTTACATAATTCATAAAAAGTAAATAAGGAATCATGAACAAGCTTCTCCATTCAAGATTCTTCTTATACAAGTTACTCACTACTGGGTAAGAACATTCCAAAAGAATACAAAGTGCTCAGGAGAAAGCGCAAGAAAACGTCCTCTTCGCTCCCCGGCTGTCGTGCAAACTTCACATGGCATTCTACCAAAGTGTCTTGTTGGTCATGCCCTTCTTCCTCCAGTCCAGAAGGTCATCCTCCTCGTCCTGCTCATGGCTCAGTGGCTGAGAGGAGTCTCTACTCGCACCTCTTCGTCCTCGTCCTCCAGACTCTGCAACGTCGAATCCAGCTTCATCCTCTTGGACACTGCAGATACAAGTTGACCCGTACGTCCTTGCACCGGTCGGACTTACCGTCTCCTTGCGATTCGATCGTGCGACGCTGCTTTAGAAGCTCTCGGGCCTTCCTGCGACCAGCTACTTCAGACGAGAATGAACTTGTCCAGCACGAGTCGTTGAAGGGCCCAGACGTACTTGAGCTCATCTATTCTCGTCGCCATTTCCTCCTGCTCCTCCTTGTCTTCCTTGTCGCGCTCCTCCACAAGCTGCTTGACCTGCACACCCACTGGCTCACCTACTTGCCTCGTGGCTGTCAAGGCGTCACCTGCTCGTCCTCTGCCTGATCCAGCGCCTCAAGATCGCCCTCAATCTCGTCCTGTTGCTTGGACTTCACCCTCTTCCCCTCATGGGCTGCAACTCAACCTGGAAGGCCGCGAACTCTTCGTCCAGGTTCACCGGCTTTGGGGGAGGCTTGTTGTGAGCTATGGCCTTGAAACAGGATCAGCGATCAGGAGGCCTGCCATGGCAGGAGTACGTCTTGAGACGCGTCATCGAAGAACCCCACGGGGAGGGAAGCTGCTTCATTCTCCTGCTCTCCGCAGTCAGTGAGGAGGAATCAGGGTTTTAGAGCTTCCGCCATTGCCAGACCTTGGTTTCCTCCTCTACGTTCTCTTCCTCGCCCCCGCTCTCTTCATCTGAGTCGCCGTACGCAAGCTGAAGGCCGACACCTGACACGACAGTCTTGCTGGGCTCCTCTGCCTGCTTCGCTTCCACCGGAGCCTCCACTTGTTTCTTGTCGCTGTCAGAGGGGACGGTGAGCGACATTGACGACTGGCGAGGGTCAGCACCTCGCCTTCTTGACCTCTTCCTCCTTCTTTTTCTCTGTAGCTGGTGCAAGCGATGCTGGGGCACTGGTTGGCTTGACCTTCCCGCTCGGTTCGGAGCTGAAAACACAGTCATCTTGGCAAGGGAGCAGGAGGAAGGAGGACCTTCTGGGGGGGTTCGAGGCAGACATGGAAGCTTTCAATGCTTTGATCTGTGTGGAATGAGACAAGAAAGTTGGAGATGTCCGGTAGAATCTCTACCTGAGCGATCTTCTGCGACTGTTTGCTCTTGGCCTCTGCCATGCGAGCCTTCATAGCTGCTTTTACGTCCATCTTCAACACAGCCAATGTCAGTGACGAACAGGTTGCGGCTCATTTCTTATTTAGGACAAACTCGAATATTTGGTAGCAATTTCGTTCCCTCCTACAGTCATAATCCTTCGACTGGCATTCCTTCTCATTTCCCATCACCTCCTTACTCTTCTGATCTGTTCTTTTTGCTTCCCTTCGCTGCTGTTCTCCTCCCTTCTCCCCTTCTCTTTGCTCCCATGTTCTCTGTACTCTCTCCACTTGTCTTCTACCCTCGTCATCTATCCTTACCACATCTTTCTCCTCATCTCTCCTCCTCCTCCTCACCCAATCTTCGCTATTTCCCTCCTTCAAGGGCCCTCTCCGGCTTCCCTCCATTTTTCTCGATTTTCTTGGCCACAGCCCCCCTCAGACCCAATCAACTTACCACCCCTCCAAATGACTCTTGTATCACCCCACCTCCGGTGGAATCCAACTCATGCGGATAGTACCCCTGCCTTTTTCTGGTTCAACCCGCAGTCAAAGTACCCCTCCTGTCCGACGGCAACCCTCATCCCCTCACTTACACTTACAGTCGTTCAACGGAAAGTGGCAAGACCCCAAGACTGATGGCGACTTATGACGAAGACTTCGAGGAGGAGGCGGAGGAGGAGGAGGAGGAGGAGGAGGAGGAGGGGAGAGGAGAAGCGAAGGGAGAGCTTGGGAGGGACATGATAACGGGAGACGAACAGCTCAAGAAGAAAGCACGCGAACCTCACGACGCTCCCCGGAACCGCGCCCTGAGAGATTCGTCAGAGTTGGTTGTCAAAAGCACAGTGGCGGGGAGAGGAGGGAAGAGGAGAAGTTACCACGAGGCAGACAGCAGCATGGATGTCAGTCTCAAGCATGACCTCTCTGTCAGCTCTGTGGAAGAGGAGAGGACACGCAACGATGCCGCCGACTTGCTCAAAGAGCCATACTGGTCACAGGGGCTGAAACAGCGCAAAGACAGCGCCATGCTGATTCAGCGAGTCTTCAGAGGACACGTGTCGAGAAGGGTGTGGGGGGAAGTGAGGGAGACGATCAGGAGGGACAGGCGAGTGTATGAGGAGCAGCAGCAAGGGAGACCATGGTTGCTCTACTTCCCAGCTACCAGCAAGAGAGATCGAGAGTGGGCAAGAGGAGCGAGACGAAATCACTTGATAGTTCCGATCGGAACTGTCGACCCTGTCAAACATTTCAAGTCTGTCAGCGATATCAAGGTTGTCGCTTCCCGCCCCCCCTTCCTCCTCCTCCTCCTCCTCCTCCTCCCCTCCCTTCCCACGTTCTCCTGTTGATTTATCCATCTCCTTCTCGTTCACATTTGCTCTGCTCTGCTCTGCTCTGCTCTGCTCTGCTCTCATCTCATCTTCACCATCAGGAATGGTGGCTTCACGTTCCCATCAAGAGGAGGAGCTTGTTCGACATCTCCCGCGTGTCGCTGCTTCCTCGCTACGACGAGAAGCCAATGGATCTTATCAACGACTCTAACATCGGACCTGGCACCTACTCCCCTGCTGCTGAGCTGGTGAACAGCCCCACCATCTGCTGCTGCTGCTGCTCCTCCTCCTCCTCCTCCTCTCCTCCTCTGTTGCTGCTGCTCCACTACCACCATCGCCTCCTCTCCTCCTCCTCCTCCTCCTCCTCCTCCTCCTGTTGCTGGGGCTCCTGCTTCACTACCTCCATGGTCTATGCCTCCTGTTCCTCCTCTGACAGCTCTCCTGCCAGATCACCCCGCGGGTCAAGGGTGGAGTTTTCTTCAAGGCCAATCGCTTCGATGGAGGGTCTCTGCCGGACTTGCCAAGGAAGCAGCTCCAATTCTCGCGCAGAGAGGAGGAGGGAGGGAGTGCAAAGAAAGAGCTTCTACCTGCTGCAGCTGCAGCAGCTGCAGCAGCTACTGAACTCAGTTCGTCTCCGGTGATGATGATGATGATGATGATGATGATGATGATGATGATGATGATGATGATGATGATGATGATGATGATGATGATGATGATGATGGAGATGGAGATGATGATGGAGATGATGATGGAGAGAGGACGAGAGGAAAGAGCAGAGAACTCTTGTCTGATATTTTGTTCTGTTAGGTGGCAAGGAGGCATATGGAGAGGTCAGAGCAGCGGAAGAGGATAGAGGAGAGCAGAAGTTTGATCAGAGAAGAGGAGGAGAAGCAGATCGAGACAGAGAGGAAGAGAATCAAAGACATGAGGAGGACCAACGATGAGATGCTCCACAGGATGAGAGAGGTCGAGCCTGATCCCTGCCTGCCTGCCTGCCTGCCTCCCTCCCTCCCTGCCTCCCTCCCTGCCTCCCTCCCTGCCTCCCTCCTTCCCTGCCTCCCTCCCTCCCTCCCTCGCTGCCTGCCTCCCTCTCTCACTCCCTCCCTCCCTCGCCTTCCACCACCACTTTCTCCTCCTGCTTCTCGTGACCCTCCAGCAGGACCTCAAGGACGTCAAGCATCCTCTCTACGGCTACGGCGATCGCTTCCTCATGTCGTTCGCTTCCCCCCGCATCGCAGTACATGGGGACCGAGGATGGAGGGGAGACAAGGGGATGTTCACCGTACAGAAGAGGAAGCACCACCCGTCCTCCCAGCCTGCAAAGAGACCCCACGGCAGCATCACTGACCGCTCTGGCATGTCCGACGGTTTCAAATTTCTGCTCTCAGTGCTCGAGGTCTGCCTGCTCCTGCTCCTGCTCCTCCTCCTGCTCCTGCTCCTCCTGCTCCTCCTGCTCCTCCTCCTCCTCTTACGTCTGCTCTTGTGCCTCGTTCCTCTTCCCCCATCACCTAACTTCCTCCTATCCGATCACCCTCAATCTCCGCCCCTCCTCCTTCCCTTCCTTTCCCTTCTTTCTCTGCTGACCCTCGTCGCAGGAGACGAAGGAGGCGAGGCTTCATCCCAAGCTCCCGCGAGTGTCAGAGGCTTCAAGGGCCCTGGCGCAGAAGTACAAAGGATACGCAGAAAGAGCCGGGGAGGGGAAGGAGGGGAGGGAGGAAGGGATGGACTGGAGAGAGCAGGAGAAGCTGAAGATGATTCGGGGGGCGGAGGAAGAGGTTAAGGTAACGAGAGAGGTTCCTGCTCAACATGGAGCTGAGAGCGACAAGGAGATGGAGGAGGGAGGACGGGGGACTCGCCCAGAGCTTGCGAGGAGTAAGGAGGGGGATGAGAAGAAGAGGAAGGAGGAGGAGGAGGTGGAGGTGGAGGAGGAGGGCAAAAAGGGAGCAGAACAGCTCAAGCCCAGGAAGCCGGAGGCAGCAAAACCATCCAAGACTTCCTTCAACTTCCGCAATACGAGGATGATGCAGCGAGCGCTGGTGGAGGTGGACAGCAGCGAGGAGGAGGAAGAGGAGGTGGAGGAGGGAGGAGGGAAGGAAGCGAACAAGCTGGGTGACTGTTCCAGCATCGGGTCGAGCTCGAGCGATGAGAAGCAAGTCAACGGAGCTCGCGGCTTTCCCTCTCAACGTTTCTCGTCGTCCAACCCCTTCAAGTTCAAGCTCGGTGGGAAATGAAAGTTGCTTGCCTAAGCGCGATTTGTAAAGTAGCTATATGAACAAGTTCCTGGTGGTGGTGGTGGTGGTGGTGGTGGTGGTGGTGGTGGTGGTGGTGGTGGTGGTGGTGGTGGTGGTCATCTCGTGATAGTCGCCGTCACCATCCTCCATCGGCCACGACCTTTGAGGAGTTTGAGGACAACGACGGTGTTGGGAGGACCTTTGCACCTGAATTGAGATGAGGAGAGAGGAGAGCAGAGGAGAGCAGAGGAGAGGAGCGGTGGGGACAGCAGAGGAGAGGAGAGGAGAGGAGGGGAGGGGAGAGCAGAGCAGAGCAGAGCAGAGCAGGGGAGGGGAGAGGAGAGGAGAGGAGAGGAGCGGTGGGGACAGCAAAGAATCTAGCAAGGAGTGCATACATCTCAACGATGGTTGGGAGAGGAACCAGCGATCGTCCAGTCCTCCCCGGCAGGATCTGCTTCCCGTCTACTTCCAGCAGCACGTCACCGACCTCCACGTCCCGCGACAGATACGCAGGAGTGCCGGGGAGGATGCGGCTAATGAGGATGCAGCCGCTCTTGGCGTCTGCCACAACCTGAGCATCGCCCCCCTCCCCCCCCCTCCTTCCCCCTTTCCTCGTCCTCGTCCTCGTCCTCGTCCTCGTCCTCGTCCTCCATCCCCTCCTCTACAAAGTTCTCTTACCTTCTTGCAACTCTAACCCGAGGCTCCTAGTCCCTTCCCGTTCCCTCCTTGTCTTTGCTCCTCCTTGTGCCTTGACCGCTGAGCTCGGCACAACTTCGCTTCCCTTTCCTGCTGCATGCAGAGGCGATCGGAGCAGAGGCTGAGGGGAGGAAGGGGAGGAGGGGAAAACACGTCCTCTGAACTGCACAGATCAAGACGTCTTTGAATAGCACGCAACGATAGAAGATTTGTCAAATTGATTGCGGATGAGCTGTCACATGTAATGAGAGCATGGTCGAAGAGGGAAGGAGGTGGATCAGAG